TCAAGTGAACAGAAAAGACGTATGCATACCTTAGCAAAGTGTCGTTCCTCTTCGGCTTTTAATCTTTCCTCAAAACCTTCTACTTCGATCTTAATAAAAAAAAAAACACAATAAATTATGTACCTCTGATCACGACAATAGGATGCCAATTTGATTACTTACTTTTAATCTCTCGTTTTCAGCGCGAAGTGAATTTATTTCTTGGATACGAGTTTGTAGCTTTGTGTTAAGAGCTTCCTTGTTCGTCTGTTTAATTTAACAAAGAAAATACTAATGTCGGCTACTTAATTTGTATGAAAATCATACAATTCTGATAAATGTTCAACATCATGTATTTTACTAATTTACCATATGGGAAACCTATAATAACGAATAATGGTAAGATTTCAGTTTTTACATTCAAGAATCATTAATAGAAATTCAATTTTTTCCCTGTGATTTCTGCACAGTCAAGTACCTTAGCAGTGTTATCAGTGTGTTCAATTATCTGTTCCAACTCCTCGACACGACTAAATAAAACAGACAAAATTACTGCCAGGCAAACTATCATGTTTTGACATGATGAGTTTTGACTAGGGAAAATAGTTTATAACTGATAGAGCTATCCAGTATAAATAAAGTGAGTTTAGTTTGGGTTTCCTCCTGTAGTAACACTGGATCAATAAAAGATGATCCTTACTGGACCTCTAGGGAGAACAGTTTAGAACTGATAGAGCTATCCAGTATAAATAAAGTGAGTTTAGTTTAGGTTTCCTCCTGTAGTAACACTGGATCAATAAAAGATGATCCTTACTGGACCTCTATGGAGAACAGTTTAGAACTGATAGAGCTATCCAGTATAAATAAAGTTAGTTTAGTTTAGGTTTCCTCCTGTAGTAACACTGGATCAATAAGAAACGATCCATACTGGACCTCTAGGGAGAACAGTTTAGAACTGATAGAACTATCCAGTACAAATAAAGTGAGTTTAGTTTAGGTTTCCTCCTGTAGTAACACTGGATCAATAAGAGATGATCCTTACTGGACCTCTAGGGAGAACAGTTTAGAACTGATAGAACTATCCAGTATAAATAAAGTGAGTTTAGTTTAGGTTTCCTCCTGTAGTAAAACTG